TATATATATATATATATATATATATATATATATATATATATATATATATATATATAAATAAATCCTGCCACGAGCAACCAACAAACCCTACATGATTTGATGGACCCGCTATTCTGTTTGCCAATGATTGACGTCGCTCCATTCAAAGTAAATCATTAGCTTTATTGCCATTGCCTTGTGTGAATGGGGTGTTAGTTTTTCCATCTCTGCTGGACTTGCTTGTTTGTAATAATATGTATATAAAAATTTCAATTTAACTAATGTAAGACCATTTTTACTGAAATAATATGTGTAGTTAACCAACCTCAGCCTGAAGGAAAACGAACCTTGCAGCGTTAAGAGGCGCATGATTAAATAAAGTACAGCAATAAATAACCTAAAACTTGTATTTCACAGTTTTTATTATTTTTAAGGGACAGTGAATCAGTTTTTATGCAACTGAAATGAGCACATCCATGTTCGCATTTAAGCTAGAACTGCAGTAAATACAGTAAGGAATGAGTGCAGTTTAGATATAAGCAAACAATAGGCAGCAACGTCATTATTTAGTTCAGTATTAAATTTCGGTTAATTTTTCGATTCGATAGCTGTAAAGTTTAATAATTAAAAATGAAAAAGAATTATTTCAGATTATATTAATATTTCAGAGTTTGCATGTTCTCCCCATGTTCACGTGGGCTTCCTCCAGGTGCTTCGGTTCCCTCACAGTTCAAAGACATGAGGTATAGGTGAATTGAATAGGCTAAACTGGTCATAGTGTATCGAGTGTGTAAATGTCTGAGTGTATGGGTGTTTCCCAGTACTGGGTTGCAGCTACAAGGGCATCCTCTGTGTAAAACATTTGCATATATAAATATATATATACACGTGTATATATATTTATATATACACACACACACACACACATACATACATACACATATACATATATATATATATATATATATATATATATATATATATATATATATATATATATATATATATATATATATATATATATATATATATATATATATATATATATATATATATATATATATATATATATATATATATATATA